CTACCTCGCGTGGTGGTAATTAAAAATTGCACGTTTTACAATAATATGATCCTCTATTCAAAGCCATATTAAAATCGATTAAGACTTGTTGAAGTAAACGTTTTCACGTAGAAACTACTGAACAGAGATAAAACAGGAATTCTATTTTTTATTCGGAAAACTTACCATCTTGTATAATTTTAGTTTTCTTGAAAATCGCATGCTTCGGCGAGTAAGTAACGCGTATTTAGTGCAAGGAAGCGTATCCTAATTTGAACCAACGCCTATTTTAAATCACCGTGTGTAGAAAAGAAATTATTTACAATCCTCTTAATTGCCTAGAAATTATAAACTGACTGCTCCAAATTTGACTACAGATACAAAAGAAAATACGCATGTCTTTTGGGGTCAAAGAAATATTTTGGCGAAACAGAAGTGTTCAGGAAATTCTCCTGCATCTACGCTATAAAAACAAATTGCTTTAATATTGTCAATTTCGAACATGAATTCTATTTCTTTTCGTACAATATACAATATAAAATTCGGTACAAATCATCGACTGCTGAAAATATAAAATTCGCGCCATTTGCGACAAGTGGCGTTCCTTGCAGTGCAATCTCGAAGCTCGCTTTGAGATCCATACAGCACCAATTTGGCTAGTGACGAAACGCTCAAACTGTTAGTCAAATTACCAACGGTTGGTTTTATCTAACAGTTTAAGCGTTTTGTCACTACCCCAACTGGCGCTGTACAGAGATCGAACGGAGCTTCATTTCTACTCCACAGGAAGCGCCACTATCACCCAAATTTACATCGAATCGTATCGCGAAGTTCTCCTTATTTCTAAGAATAAATTAATTCTTTTTGAGTGATATGGATGCAGGAGAGCCTCCTGAACATGTCCGTATCCCTAGAATATTTTTAAGTTGTTAAATTTTCCAGATAACACGGATTCAACTAGAATATAATTCCGTTTATCCGGCATGTATACTGACTCATAATTAATACTGATTGAAAACTGGCCAGCAGTAGAATCAAACTACAGTTAAATCATTTAATTGAACAGCGTCGAATAATCGGAACTCTACTCTAAATAGGATGATATATGGACGTACATCTGTTCTGTTCTAATCGTTTCTCGAATACATAATGCTGAAAATAGAGACGTAACAGTATCATTTCATGCATAGAAATGCAACTATTTGCTTCCTGTGATTAACACGATACAACTACTGATGCATGCAAGGGGTTGCGGTGCTAACACTCTTCTGTTTTCTTCTGTCTGCACGATAGGATAAAATATGCGGAATTGTCATTTTCTCGCAGTATCAGCCGTAATTTGGGAACTGATTCGGTGCAGTATCACGCCGCAGCTACAGATTCCCAGGGTATCAGTATGTCGCCAGATGGTACCGTACTTAGTAACGGTTCCACTCAACCTGGGTGGTGTAACTATCGGGGAGACTACAAGGACTATAATTTAAAACCAATTTGTACGCAAGATCTGTTGTCCTGGGCATTTCAAGTAGCTCGTGGAATGGAATATCTCAGCCAGAGAAAGGCGAGTTCCTGCGATCTTTTGATATCTTATTTATTCGTGGTTGAACTTACGTTATATAAGCTAGTTGGGACACAAAGGAACTTATATAAGCAAATTTTTACATAGCAAAAACATCAAGCGGCTAGCATTGAAATTGATTTAATATTTGAGACAAAATGATATATGTATAGATATGAATAACTTCATATAACCCCTGGCAAAAAGTATTCGATCACCTTTTAAAACGCAATAACTTTTTCCAATCTGATCTTGATGACTTGAATTTTTGTTAAGTATGGTACAATGTGACTATCATACCTTTTTTTTAAATTCTGCTGTTACTTAAAATGACAACATAAGATAAAAGACACTCGTTTTTTTGCTTCTTTATTTAATCCTGAAACGAAAATTCAAAAATGCGTTTCATACATCTCAGTAAATTATATGTAAACTGAAAATTTCATTGAAGTCGATTGACGCATAGTCAAGCTACAGCCACTGAAAGATGGAAAAGTTACTGAAAACTGTTTTTGGTCCAAATTCGTAAAATAGAGCGATTTTTATGATCTTCAATTGTTTGTTGTTCATGACAAAACGTCAACCAATTTTGATGAAATGTTCAGTATGCATATAAGTTACCTAGATCTACAAAATACATTTTTTAAATTTGTATTCCAGTTTCAAATATAAAAGTTAAAGAACAAGTACTTCGCATATTTTTGTTTCATTACAAGCATTAGCAAAATTAACAAGAAGTATTTTAGTCATTACACAGTAAACTAGTCCCTTCAACTTAAATGTTTGGTGGAGTTTCAAAAAAGTTATTGCATTTTAAAAGGTGAACGAATACTTTTTGCACATAGGTCGAATACAAAACTAAAACGGCTAAAATATTGAATAAATTCGGATAATTAGAATAATATCCAGTAAAAGATAATAATTTTATCTAATCTACGCAAGTAAACGTGTTATGTATTTACACACAGTATTGAAATAGGAAATTCACTTGAATTGGACTTAAGTCGGTGAATAAATTGCTCGATGCATACATCATTGTCCAGAAATAAATTTACAGGTACTGCACGGTGACCTGGCTGCTAGAAATATTCTGCTAGCCGAGAACAATGTTGTAAAGATATGCGACTTCGGTCTGGCAAAGACCATGTATAAAGAAGAAAATTATAAAAAGAAAGGTGATGGTCCATTACCAATTAAGTGGTTGGCCATCGAGTCGATCAGAGATCGAATTTTCTCCACGCAATCGGACATTTGGTCATTCGGTATAGTTCTGTGGGAGTTCTTCACACTGGCCGAGACTCCATATCCTGGCATGGAGGCGGAAATACAGTACCAGAAGCTAATTGAGGGTTACAGAATGGAGCAGCCTGAATATGCTACTCCCGAAGTGTAAGTTCATCCAAGAATTTTAGACAGCGAACATTAAGCAGAATATAAATTTTCAAATCTTTCCTATGACACGGTCAACTGCAACGTGCATCGATCATAGATTCCATGTAATTTGAAATTGATGACTCGTGTTTTATAGTATTTATATTTCTAGGTATGAAATAATGCGCCAATGTTGGAAGGCCAAGCCTACTCTACGTCCGAGTTTCACGGAGTTAGTCGACAGTATAGGAAATTTGTTGGAGGACAGTGTGAGAGCGGTAAGTTCGTTGAATGATCATATTTAGATCAATAATGTCGTCTCGGAATGGATAACATACTTGTACAAACTCTACTTGAAGCACTTTTTGGAATAATGCGTGTTTTACCAGATAATTGGAGGTCTTGGTCTTTCCAAGGTCAAAAAATTATGACCTCACGATATGTATGAAACACGTGTTGCGTCTTGATAACTGAAAAAGATATTTAGGTGGCCTCATTTATCTGGGACACTCTGTGTTTGTCTACGACGTAACTCTAGGAGATTCGATTAAAAGTAACATTGGTAATTTCAGCACTACATTCAATTAAATGATCCGTACCTGGACATGAACACGATTCTGCTCGAGAGCGGAAAGGACGATTACCTGACGATGTTGTCGGCTCCTGATCATGCTATGCTGTCTTCACCGACTCACGAGTACGTGAACTCGCCTATATCTGGATCCACGGTGGATTCTGCCTATTTGTGCATGAGTCCCAGAAGCCAAACATCAGAGTCAGGAATATTCAGTCCTAGACCCCATCAAGAACGGACCCATTTCGATTTCCCGTCTCCAACGTCTGACTGTGAGGACGCTGTGGAAATGTCGCCGATGCTGAAGAAGCAGGAAGATGATCCGTATCTCAAACCCATTGATGTCCACGAGCGGAGGGCAGAGTTTGCTAGAAACAGACAAATGATGAAGAATCAGGTCGGGGTTCATCATCCAGCTCGGGATTCCGGTTATTGCAACGCGCCGAAGAATTTAGAGCTCATTGATCTGAATAAAAAAAACGACGAGATCGCGAAGAAGTCGGAGATGAATTCGAACCCAACGGCCAAGATGGGCTTCGCTCCGCCAATCATTAGGACTCAGGACAACTACGTAAATATGCCTCGGCAGAAGTGCGATATGAAGAAGGACTTGCCTGACGGATTCAGCAATCCTAGTTACGTGATCATAGGTAATTGAGAGGCGAATCGAATACCGGGATCTCAAGTGTTTGAAAAATTCTGCTCCAGAGAGCAATTCGTTTGAAAGTGCTTTTCGCTCGTGCGATTATCGTCTGCGAGAATTTGTGTGTTTGAGTATGCGTGACGTCAGGATAAATATAGCGTATATTATGTTATACAGAATAGTGCACATACAAATATGTAAAGTATAGCTTAGTACGTAAAATAATTGATCCAATGTGCCATGATATGTTCGGCTAATAGTGCACAGTCGGATTATACTGGAAGGGAGAAAAGAACCGAGCGAAGCTGTTGTATCGAAAGTATTATAAATATGATAGAGAAGAATAATACGAACAACATGTCTAAAAAAACATACTCAAACAGACGTGTTCATATCTTTTAGAAGCCAAGTGGGATTTAATTAAGAAACGATTATATCCGAACAAATTAGTGAAACATGAATAGGGAGGTTTGAGGGAAACGAATTTGAACGTTCCTTTGGACAATCCATGACAGAATTTTGTACAATTCTGTACAATCCATTGCATGGAATGCTTAAAACTGCCTGCAATGGGATGCGTGCTTGTAGAATCATTATATACAGTTCTGTCGATAAACGAAACAGCAGTCCGAAGAATGAGATTTTTCGTATTGAACGAATTTTCCAGGGTCAATTGAATCTTGAGTACATTTATCTAGACAATTGTTTTATTGCTGACGTAATAGTTCATTGTTTGAATACAAAGTATGTGGGTCCGCTTTGTGATCTAACGAGCATGCAGAATTCGGTGGAAAATAATAATGCAGTTCGAATATCGATTTTGCATTCGTTTTCGAAAAACTTGTGTTAAGAAGTTCGGTTCGGTATGCTGGTTTGAATAAGACGACGCTATCATTCATTTCTTATCATTATTATTTATTATACGCACGAACACAAGCATATCAACCGAATTTTTATCGTCAAGTTATTTGGCAAATTCACAACATTTTGTACTTGGTCCTTTCATATTTTACGTATGTTTATTTTTCACTGTGATTTGATAGTCTGAAAGTGGACAATTGGTAAAAAGTTATTTCCTCGATACAAATTTTCTACAAAATTCTGTGAAATTGTTGTGACGTAGATTTCATTCTTACAAAGTGAAATATAATATAAATGCATAAACATTTTTTTGACTGTTCGGGTTCCAAATTGTTATAAATTGAATTGTTAAATTGAAATTGTTTCGACGTCGAAATTTTGATGTAACACGGGAATAGTGTGTTTAGGGTAACGTACAGTTCAGACTATTCATTTTATGCAGACTATTGTTATGGCGCTAGACAATACACCTAAAGAGTTGTATTGTAATTTTAATTCTAATTGTGACCGAATGTACAAAAAAATATTAAGAGAGACATAGAAACGATACCATGAAGATATTTACATAGGCGTTTACATAACGATAAGGGTTTAATATAAATGCTTTTGACCACGTACTTATTAACTGTCAAAGATAGAACCACTGCTTCTAAAAGCGTCGATTCGAATCGAATCGCTTTGATCAGTAACAAGTTCTGTATGGATGAGCACGGACTTGCTAATCAGTACTTAATACTCACTGTAACGCGAGTTTTTGTCACAGGGTTTAGCGTTATCGATTAACAAGTTTCGAGAAATTTATCAGTGTATACTGCGACCAAAGACGTGTAACGTTTCAATGTCGGCGAGGTGTTTCATATTTGTATCGAAATATTTTTCTACGTAGAGACACTCGAATAAGAAGATTTATTAATCATAAACTATTTTATACGGAACTATGAAAAATAAAAGATTTATCTATAAAACATCAGGTTCTGGATGGTTCGCCGATTAACTAATTTCTTTATATTCCCACGTCGTTCTCGATTCTTATAGAATAGGGCACGTCGTGTATAGTTATATTGCTACGCAGACGTCTACCTTGTTTGCAAATCGTCTGGACCAGCTGCTTCTTGTGTTGCCTCCATCTGGGAAGAAGAAAACATTTCGTAATTATTTCATATTCGGATACTATTCCGATTAACCTTTTAGGTACGGCTGAATTCTGCGCGAGGCTATTTCTCTGGACGGCAGAGTCTGATGTGTACTGTACAGAGTCTGAGAGGCGAGCTCAGTTGGCGCGAGGCGATCGAGCCAATGAGCGGAACTGGGCTTCGCGCGCTGGTTGGCTGGGCCGCCTCGCGTCAGCCGTACTCGATTCGTATTGGTCACTGTTTTTCGTTAATAACTCGTTAACGGTGCCTCGGAGAACATTTTTGTAAAGGAAAAAGTTGCTTCAAATAATCCGAGGAACCCGCCATTTCCGGATTGCGAGACATTTTTGGGACACCCTGTAAACTGTTGTAAATCGATGTGAAGACAAAAGAAGTGTGAAACAATGCATACGAAGACGATTATTTGGTTCAAACGATGAGCGAGTGAGCTACTAGAGCAAGCCACTGTAGTGGCGCGTCGTCCAGAGAGATGACGTCCGCGAAAGCCACTATAGTGGCGTGTCGTTCTGAAAGATGTCATCGGAGAAAGCCACTATAGTGGCGCGTCGTGCCTAAAAGGTTAA